ACTACACACACACACACACACACACACACACACACACACACACACACACACACACACACACACACACATACACACACACACCACACCACACCACACACATATTTTTGCTTTGATTGTATAACAACAATTTTTGTATTGTTAATATTTAATTCATCACATTGTTAAATTTTTTAAATATATTGATTGATTATAAAATAATAAAGTTTTCAAGTTTCCAAAAATTCTTTATCTTATAATCAATATATTTAAAAAAAATTGTATAAAATAATCTGATATGTGTATAATCTTACCAGAGTCGCTATTATCCATTTGGCTATTGATACCATTTCTATTTTATGATTCAAATTGTTTGGTATCTTCTTATATGTTACTGGTAGATTTAAGCATCGTAAAAATGTGGTATACATTAAAGGAAAATGTGGTTCCCAATCAATGTATCCTATATTATAAACGGCCAACATGGCCATTAACGTCATCATATCATTTTCCCATTGCGGACCATTGCGGCATACCTTCCACATAGTCATAAACTCATCAAACCACAACTGATATCCCATAGAATGATGCTCAGGAGGTAATTGCAATGGTAAAAACCATTCTAAAATTTGAATGGTTGTGCACATTGTTGCTCCGTTAAGAGGACAGAGTTTTGGTCTTAATTCATCTAATATTTCTTGTGTAGCACTCAACTGTCACAATAATATTGTAAGATATAAAATTAGTCATATATCAAATTCGGAATTTGTCTCGTTTTCTGAAGGAAATAATCATTCTTACAGGAAAATAAATCTTTACAGCCTGGACCACGTAATATAATGTATTTTTTAAAAATTTAGGCTGACGATATATTCCAATTGGATCAGGTTTAAAATACTGTACTGTAATTTTATATAAAGGTTTCCATGGAAGTTCTAATTCGTCGGGTCTAATTAATTTTTTCTTTCTGAAAAAGAAGATAAATCACATCAATCAGATATTATGTCAAATGTAAATTCTATTCCATAAGAAAATAACGGCAAGAAATCTGTACATTCTGATTATATCTTTACCATTGCTTTTATTTCAATATACATTACTCAAAATACAGTGTAAAAACTGGCAATACACCGTGTACCAAGTATGTTTTTGTCCAGAAAATAAAGTCATACCTATGCTCAGAGTCTTGCTTTTCTCCAAATGGAGTTCATTCTCTCATGGAATAGGTTTCCTAATCATACTTACAATGTTAAAATAAAATATAAATTATTCTTTTTATCAATTATAATTTTTGAATGCATTGGAATTTTTTTAAATGTATTCAAAAACATCTATAACAACTTTAGTACATTTGTAGTTAAAAATGCTCATTAATTTCTATTCTACTTACTTTAACAGTGTCACTAATACATTGCCAAATTTGTTGAAAAGATTTGCTTCCAATTTTGGTATGGTAACAAGCTCGTACATTAATTTTACAAATGCTATATGATCTTCTTTACTAAATTTCATCCCATATAATTGTGTATACCTAAGAGAAATTTTAATCTACTGTCAAGTTAACATAATATAGAACATTAAAACAAAAAAGATTAAGGATATTTGATTTTTTGCTCTGATAAATATCATTTAACAAAGAGAACATCATAAATGATCTTCTCAGATTTTATTTAAAATATACTGTAATATTATATCTTCACTAATGCATGATAAAACTATTTGATATATCCAAATATTTGCGAAAAAATCAAGTTTAAAGTTCTTTGTGTTTATATACCGCGATTTTTTAACATTTTTCGAACTCGGTGTAATATATAAAGATATAGTGGAATATGTAAGACGCTTGGCTATGAGACTCGCTATGTATGGATTCGAATCTTGCTTTTTACAATTTTTTTAACAAGGATAGCATTGCCTAGTGGATAGGATCTTAAAGTATCTAAGTATAATTGTTCATTTTTTAATTAAACTTATATCTATAAATTTGGAACAATTACTTATATCGTGAGCTACATTATTTTTTTTCAACTTGAACATTGATAGATTATTGTATAATGTAAACAAATAAATAAACATTTATATTCGGTTTTTAAATTTTCCGTTAAATATTTCCAAACATGAAAAGAAATCGAAAGACTAAAAAGAAAGTAATAAGGAGAAAGTAATGAAATAAATGTATATTAATTTTGTATATATGTTATAATACAAAATATTGTTACAATATAAAAATATATAAAATAATATTTAATAAATAATTTTTATAACGAAAAATATTTAATAAACTTAATACTTTACAATTACATAATTTTTTAAATATTGAAATTAGGAAACATACTTCATTAACATTTAAAAATATAGATTTATTATTAATTGCAATGCATATGCCATGCCTATATCATCAGTTTAAAAACAGAAATACTTAATTGACATAATATTAATGCATGAATTTTTATTGCATTTTAAGTATTAATTTTGCATTGTTTTTGCAATAAGATAATAGCATTTTATAATTATTTACTGAATTGATTTTTATCTGATAATAAAAATATGTATCATACAGCTGACATAGTAAAATACATTTTGATGAAATTACTGTACAAGTTTTTCTTGTTTTATTCTCAAAAGTCATCATATTCAAATATTCTATATAGTTCTATATAGTTCTATATAGTTTAACATTTTATCTGTTGTTGATCATATAACACAATGGATACATTCAACAGAACAAGCAATCAGTGATAATAATCATCTAATCAATAATCATTGGTCTTTATTGTTAGATCTCTATTGTAGATCAATTAACTTTATGAATTACTCAACTATTATGCAACTATTATGTTTGCTGAGCCAATATATAAAAATAAATTTTTTGAAACAGTTAAAAAATAAATGCAATTTTTACTAACCGTTCAGAAATATTTAATAGAATACACACACACACACACACACACACACACACACACACACACACACACACATAAATAAATTAAA